TGTAGTTTTGTTTACAACTCCAGGTGTTGCCATCTTTGATCATTAACTTATTATTAATATTAAATTATTAATTATTTTTAATTAACATTAAATTTTAGTAATTATTAGAGCTTTATGAAAATTAAATTTGACGAAAAAAGGAACAACTAATATTTAATGCTACTAAAAAAACCGGTTATACAGTAGTTTGTCTTGCTTAGAAAATTAATTCTTGTTTGCCATTCATAGTTAGTGGTTTTTGGCTCTGACTGATATGAGCAAGTTTTTTTACTTTCATTACATTAAGTATGCACGTGTAGTTCATCTTTTTTTGCATGAAGTATTAATAGCGAGTTGTTTCAATAGAACTGTCTTCTAGTTTTGATTTAATTTTTGCTAGCACTGTTGATCTCAACACATCACAAAGAGTCCAGCTTTTCTTTCAGCTTCTTCATGGAGCTGCTAATAATCATGAAAGCAGTGACCTGGGGTTACTTTTTCAAACCTCAGTAACATCTGCAGAGGTAGACATATTGTAAAAGTTATTTCCACAGCCAAATAAAGAATGATAAAGCGTGGCAGAGGAAGACTTTATTAGAAGAGCAACCAGACACAGACACTAGTGATCCTGTTACTGAGAACCTCCGTTTTGTTAAATTGGGCTGTAAAATTGGCAACATTATTTTTGTGAACTAAACAAAATGCTCCAAAATATAACTTCAACTATGCTAGTGTGAACACGATTAATGTGCATCAATATGTATTACTGTACTTTTGCCATTGTGAAATGGCTTTGTTATTTTATTTGGAGAAAGTAGCTCCTTTTCAATTGAATAGTTTAAAATAAGAGTTACGTACCTAAGCATTATGATACTCCAGTATATTAACCATTATTAATAATACATCAAATTGATTTAACTATTTTCTCTCTCTCTCTCTCTCTCTCTCTCTCTTCCTCATTAGTGTGAGTTAATAATGCTTCATGACAGTGCCTCTATTATTAGGAGCTGTTACTGGAACATTAGCTGATGAAAATAAGTAAAAACAAATAGTTAACATTATTTTCGCTACTATTATTGTACATGAAATGAATTATTATTTGTGACTTATGTACATATTTATTTTTTAGAGTAAATCAGGATCCTGCTGATAGCACTAGCTTCTAAAATAACCAAATTTATAATACATTATTGCCTGCAGCAGTTGAAGTAGAGTCTTGATGAATATCATGAAACACTTGACAGATTGAAAGCTAGTCAATATTAATAATGTGTGTATCCAGTTTTATTATTGTTATAGGCATGTAAATTATGGTGATGATAATTACATGTATAATAACAATCAAACTTTCTAAATAATTATTATACTTTCTACTGTCTTTGCTTTTATTCTCCTTGTTATTGTTTATTTTTGTTGTTCTTCTTAAAATAATGACAACTTGAAATCATGTGAATTCAGTCGAGGGTATAGATTTAACAATAATTTTTAGCATTTATAGATCTACTGCATGTAATGTATCAGAAAATTTAAGCCATTCTTGACAAGTACCCTTCCAAAATATTGATTTTGATTTAGTCAAGGGGATGGCCCTGGGACCACTTACCAGCTATAAAGAGGACCAGTACTTTTATGACAGTCAATTATTAGTTTACTGAATAATAATAATTGTTGAGTTATACCAGTGGCATTGTGGAATACTATACATGTACATGTACGTGAGGCTTTCTCACAGGATTATGGCTCATGCAGGTTCTTGTCAGTGGATTGTTAAATTTACTATGTGGTGCATTTGAATTTTTAATTTAAAAATCAATTCTCTATTTTTTTTAATTTTCATAAAAATGGCTAGGAAAACTACACATTTTTGTCATTTTTTTTGATACACAATACAATGAATATTACATCTACTTTTGCGTTGCATTAAACTTTTGAGCTAATTCAGATCAAAATAGATTTTAAACTAGTGTCTGCTCATGAAGCATGCTGTTTAGCTCACTTAGCATGCTTTATGGGAAACCCTATTGCACATGTGCACATGTACATGTAGGTTCATTGAATATCATGGACAATCTTTGAAATAAATGGTTTGCCTCTAAAACAAACAACAATAATAAAATAATAAAAATTTGCAAGCAAAAGTTTCATAATTGTACTATGTTGACTTTTGTCTGTGATCAGTAGGCTGATTACGATGTGAAAGGGACTTGCTGTAGATCCTGACTTTGTTTGTTATGAAAGCAAGCATTAAGTAACCAACCACTACACCAACTATCAGTCCACCAGCACTTGCAGCTATAGTCCATGCATGTTCTTCAAGAGCTCCTCCAAAAACTCTACCTACAGGTACTGTTGGCCCTGCATATGACAAGAGAAACATGAATTTAACATTATACACCTACACACTACATTTGTACAATGTACATAGATATTATGTACTCTTGATACTAGGATTAGTCTATTACCTGCAGTGATGCTAGGTTCATATGATGATGATGATGATGATGATGATGATGATGATGATGATGGTACTATGCTTGAATCAACACTAGAAGATGAGAGAATGGTGCTTGATGATAATGCTACAGTCTGTACAGTGTCTATATGGTTACACAGGTCATTGATAAGGAATACTTAATGTCATAACTTACTCATTACACTAGTCTCTGAAGGACTGATGGCACTTAAGTCAACTGTTGATAGTGTCGCTATTGTAGGTGATGGACTAACAGTTGTTGTATAATGAGCAACAAAACAAATGCTACTATCACCATTAACAATGTCTTGTAGTAATGAACCACTCCCTCCTACACTATTGATGGTTGACACACACTTTCCTTCTTCTACATGATATGCACAGTAAGGATCACGTGAGCTAATACACTCACTGTTATATGAATTATTATAATTAATTGAATCCTTTATTATCAATTGCATCTTACCTGCATGTTGAATACAGTCTCTCACAATCATCCAATGGTACAACATACAAACCTTCAGATGTACTCAGGTACACATACACTGAATTCTGTTGAGCAGTAAACACATTACCATGACAAGTAATGAACAATTCTTACATTAGCTTTAGTTTTGTACAATTCCATCATTCCAACAACTTGTCCCTCTCCATTCTCTGTGTTACGCTCCAGTTCTACATTTTGACTAGTGAAGTCTTTGCTTCCTTGTCGACTGGAGACATAAGTCTTTTTAAGTAAATGCAAATTGTCTGTACAATAGACAGTACAAT